CGTCCCCAAACGTGATGTTAACCTCTATGGAATGGAACAAAACTTTTTTTTACTTTGTAATTATTACTCCCTCATCCAATAATAAATTAATAATATTGTCCATTTGATAAAATAATATAATCATGTCAACCCATGTTTTGTTGATATTTTCATGTATTTTTAAATATGTAATTTTTATTTTTAAAATTTCATACAATTTTTCATATAAAATGATTTAAAAATAAATTCAGTGAAACATTGTAACGCACAACGGGAACATTATTGTTGGAAAAAGGGATATTTGTTACTCCCCGTCCTGGATTATTTGTCCATTTTTTTCTTTTCAGTCAAAACTAGAAAATTTTTATTCCAAATTAAATAAAAATGCTATTACATATTGATACAAAAATAATTTTATTAGATTTATTATATAAAATATTTTCAAATCATTTTTGTATTTAATTAATATATAATATATATTTTATTTTATTATAGATGAAAGGTTGGGAATAGTTAATCAAAAAAGTTAAAGCTAAACAAATACTTCAGAATGAAGGTAGTATGCATGATTAAGAAATTGAAGAAAATATAATACGATATAAAAATAAAATGAATAATGTAATAATATTTGCTATTGAAAATTCTTTTGTTTACATTTGTAAATGGATATGTTAGTGTCTTATTTAAATCTTTTTTTAATTTCTGAGTTATACAACATTTTTAATAAAGTTACAAGAACTATCGGTGTCATCAAAAACTAATATTTTAAATCGTGTCTTTGTTTTTAGTTATGAACCAACAAATTAAATACTCCGTACAACCTTAAGTAAGCTTAAATACTGACATCACAAAAAAAAATAATATAACAAAGGACAATGGCTTTGACTTTTACTTGCGGAAATAAAGTTATACCGGAGTATAAAATTGTCTTTTTTGAGTTCCAATAAACCACCATCTTTTAATCAACATCATTTTTTAGAAAAGAGTACATTGCATTTTATGTAATTTTATGAATGATTATAACAATATTTGAATTAAAGAATAACAAAATTCAAGCCAATATTATTATGGCCTTGTTTGGAAAATAATTTTTCGGATAAATTTTGGCATCTTTGACTGACTTTGGCTTTTTTTTACTAGGCGAACAGCCAAAACCATTATTTGGCTAATGGCTTGTTCACTTGGCATTTTGATCCGAAAAGCCAAAATCTGAAATGCCAAGGAGATTAGCTTTTAGACTTGACTGTTAGAATATATATATATATATATATATATATATATATATATATATATATATATATATATATATATATTTTTTTTTTCTTTTTTTTATAATGAACGATCAGTTACAAGCAGGGGGCCCGAGGCCCGTTAACCTCGTGACTACCCCGGGGCCCGTTAAAGCCCACTATAGAAAGCCCAAAGTAAGCCCAATCTAAAGCCCAGCCCCATAAGCCCAAATCTACTTCCCAGGGGTCACCCATCATTTTTGCTACTCTCATGCCAGCACGCTTAACTATTTAAAATTTCTCCAAATTTGCATCTTCTGGGGCTCGAACCTGAGTGGTGTGGTTCGCCTATCAACCCTATGACCATCTCTACAGGGGGAACCACCATATATATATATATATATATATATATATATATATATATATATATATACATATACATATACATATATATATACACACACATACATACATACATACATATATGTATTTATATTTATATTTATATTTATATTTATATTTATATTTATATTTATATTTATATTTATATGAAAAAATATTTTGAAATAGCTAATTTTACCAAACATTTTTAACGACCAGCCAATTCATCCTGTCGGTCAAACCAGCTAAACTAAACAGTTATTCACAACAGCTAGTACGAACTGCCAACAGGCAACATCCAAACAAGGCCTATATTTAGCCGATTATATAATATAAACTAACATTTTTTTTGCACGCTAATATTCTATATTATTTTAGCTTACATGTTACATCTGAATTAATGAGTAGATTGTATATCTAAAATACGCCCTCTATCGAAGTTGGTTTTTTCATAAACTATTAACACGGGTAAACTTTATTTATTTATAAGGAAACAACTCAATCATAAGACTTTGATATCATGGCAAGGAATCAACGCAACCACAAGCTCAACAAGTTAGTTTTAGAATAATTTATAAAACAATTCTAATTTTTGTAGAATCCTTTTATTTATATAAAGCAGACTCCAGTTTACAAGAACATGACATTTGGTGGATTATAGACGCGACATGTGGCAGAGTTGAGGTGTCAATTTTTGACATGTACTATGTGAAGTGGACAAGTCCCTACTCTCAAAAGAATTTTTATATAGATATTTTGAGAGTTGGACTTCTAGGATTGTGACATGTGGCACGCTTATTCGACAAATTTTTTTACATGTCAGCATGTCATGTCAGCAAGTAATATTTAAAGAATTAGTTAACAAAAACACTTATTTTATGGAAATTAAATTTTGTATTTCTTAAACACCGATTTCTCAGCATAATCGCGTTTAAAAACTTTTATATTTTATTTCATTATTGTAAAATATTTAAATTAAATAATATATTTTGATACGAGTATTTAAACAAGGAACTCATATTAAAAAAATAAACAAAACAAACAAATTTATTCCAAGAAAGGAGAGATTAGTAGGACTAAAGTAAATAGCATTTAAATATTTTTTGCTTTGAATTAAAAATAATTAGAGAGATTTTCCCTTTTTTTATAAAAGAGAAACAAATATATAAAAGGAAAGAGATTTTTACGGATAGTTTTATTTAATAGAGAATTAATTTTAATTCTATATATACATTAAAAAATTCTAAGTAAAATAAAAAGTATGTTCCATTTTAAAATTATTATTTTCCATTTCTAACTTTGTAAAAATTTATATATCTGTGCCACAAAATTACCATTTTGAATTAATAATTTTATAAAATGATAAATACTTGGTACGTGAGTATTTATGTATAAGAAATTAAATATTAATTGGTGTTCCTAATCAAAATATTTATGGTATGATATTAATTGTTATAAGTGTAATTATTATTAAATAAAATTCTTGAAAAATATAAAATACGCTAATTGATTTGACATCTATGTCAAAAAAATATAACTAAATAATATTCTTGCTTATTTATTCATTCGACCATCGGCACCAATGTACTAAATATTTGTGGAAAATAAAAAAAATATTTAAACTTTTTAGATAAAAAAATTATAATAATTATTTTATAATGGTTATTACAGATGTAGAAGGAGAGAGATCGTCATCGGCTATAGCCTCGCATCATCGAACACTTTCGAGAAAGAATGTATTCTACGAACACGTTCAAGTACATGTTTTTCAAAAAATCATCTAAACAATGCTCCAACCAGGGAACATTTATGCACACACTTCCTCACGTTTTCAAGTACATAAGAGACATAAGAGAATTGATCTATCTTCTATGACTCATGCTACTAATTTCTTTAAAGGTGATAATACAACTATTGTACGTCTTTGTGTATTAACTAATTATACGTATAAGATATTAAAAATAATGTAACAAAATAGTACTGAAATTAATATGGTGGACACACGATATATTTTAAATTTAGATGTTGATGCAGAAGGTTCATGTCTTTAAGATATATCAGTAGAATCATTTTTAGATATTCATGTCTTTCGAGAAACTAAAATTAAAAGTATTTTAAATTATATATGCAACATGTAAGTTGTGAAGAATATTAAATATATATCAAAGACTTGCTAGGGGAAACTTTGTTATGGTATGAAGAAAGAATATAAAAAATAAAGATTCAGAACATGTAAGGAAAAGTTTAACTGTCTCTTCCAAGGAAACCCTCATATTTACTCTATAATTTATTTTATGGACTTCGTGTGAGAAGTTATCATTACCATGAAAAGTTAAAGAAAATACAATCGTATGTTTTCATTCATGTATATGGATGAAAATATTGATGCATCTCACAACAATGGTCGAGCAACAACTTACTCTTAGTGGACACAATCATCATCACATATCATCTTTAACGTCACAAGATCGTGAAAGACCAAGATTTACACAATTGTATATTTATGATACACAGAACGAGATATAAAACAGGATGACTCATTTTAGGTATCTTGAGCACTTTATTAAGTGTACCCTTTTAATACAGGTATTATTTACAAGTGTGTAATGATAAAATACTCATGAATCATTATTAACATGCAAACAAAAACAAATTGTTCTATTTGTATCATACAATACGGAGAATAATTCTTTGGCTACTGATAAAATTTTAGTCAAAGATTTGAAAAATATGATAGATGAGGATAATGTTTTATCACAGATTTTCGGAAGAACTTGAGACTTCATGGATAATGAGCCACTTCTAATGTATCACTAAGGGTGTTGAGAAGTATAATTAGGGACTAAAAAAGTTTTAATATCTCCATAGTACACGAAGTTGATTCGCTAATAGTTTGAGATTTTAGAAATCACCCTAAATAGGACTAAAACATAGAGAAAAATACCAAAATAAGACTTTCATGTTTTTTTTCCGAAATAGGACTTTGCACTATGGTAATGTGACTTTGCCCTGTGGTAATGTGGCCGTGTACATGTGCAAATTACTATACTTTTTTGGTAATGTATATGACCATGTATGGTAATGTAAGTCTTATTTCGGGAATAAAAACATGGAAGTCCTATTTTGGTATATTTTCAATATTTTAGCCCTACTTTGGTCTTTCTCCCTTGAGATTTTCATTCATCTAATGTAGAACGGGACATCATCGAGAAAAGAGATGGATTCTTTTGAAAAGTCCACGAGACACACACTACTTTCATACATCTGCAATACTCTTTGTTTTTACCTTTTAGGGAGGATGGATATCAAGAAAATATACCTATAAGTGAATCATTTTTAATTTTGTATAGAAAATGTAAAGTGTCAGAGAGTATCAGTGAGAGAATTTGTTGCATTTCAAATACAAGAAAG